GTAAAACTGAAAGAACTTTCCAGAGGTTTCCGCTTTTTTGGTATTCTCTCTCTTTTTTTTCTTTTCAGTGGGCTTTTGGCTTTGAGTTTTCTAGGAAGGAGACAAGATTTCTCAGACAAAAAAATCTGTACAGTATACTCACTAAGCTGGATGAACAAACCAAAACACTAAAAGCAGTAATATTTATTTAGAAGAATTGATCAATATATGTGCTCAGGATCAAAAACCATAACTGATGACCTGACATAATCCCCTCACTCACAACAGATCCTCCTCTTTGTATCATAATACCACCTGCCTAGATAGAACCCTTTCCCTGGAAGCTCAAACGATTTGGCAATGTTTGTTAATACCTATGATGTATCTGGAGATAAAACAGATTTATTTTTGCCCTGTCTTTATGTTTAAGGTTACTGAGACACAGAAAATCCACACCACAAGTCAGAATTACTCAAGGAGTAAACTACGGACATGCTGACCCATTACCAACCACTTTATCCAACACACATGAAGTGAGAGTTCCGTGCATCATGCTACCCTTTCTTGTCCTTAGCTACATTACTGTTTCTGGCCCATGGGCATATTTTGTACTTTTTTGCCATCTGAGAAATCTGTTTGGTTATAAGCAAAAAGACCATCTTTTAGCAGTCCTTGCTATGAGTTATTGTCCTTAGCCACTCCTCAGGTTTTAAGCGAATTTCTTTTCACACTTCAAATTCTCTGATATTTTTTAACAGAGGATTTACTAGATTCTATCTTGCATTTAGTATTGTCTAAGATGTAATACTATGCTTACTTTTGTTCTCATGTCTGAAAACAGGAAAAAAGGTCAGTGGAAATAGTGATTCTGTGTGTGCATGCGTGTGTGTGTGTGCATGTGTGTGTGTGCATATGTGTCTGTGCATGTGTGTGTGTGTGCGCGCACTTCAGGTCTTCATAGAAAAGAACCTGCAACATATTTCTAAACCTCTTTAGCAGTTTCAGCTTCCCCACCCTGCTCTCAGCATCCACAAGCTTTAATGTGCTCTTTGCAAATCATCCCTTTTTATACTTTTTGATTATCAAGAATCCTTGCAGCACTGGTACAGTACAGTGTGTAGGAAACTAGAATGAACTAGAAAAAATCCAAGCAATGGAAACACATCTAAGAAAATAAATGCATGAGGCCAGGAATGGTGGCTCACACCTGTAATCCCAGCACTTTGGATGGCCAAAGCCAAAGGATCACTTGAGCCCAGCCAGTGCTAAGACCAGCGTGGGCAACATAGTGAGACCTTGTCTCTACTGAAAATAGAACATTTTTAAAAATTACCCAGGTAGAGTGGCATGTGCCTGTAATCTCAGCTATTCAGTGGCTGAAGCAGGAGGATCACTTGAGCCTAGGAGGTCAAGGCTGCAGTGAGCCATGATTGTGCCACTGCACTCCAGCCTGGGTGACAGTGAGACCCTGTATTAACAAGTTAATAAAAATTTTAAAATGCATATATCACTTGGAGAATAGCAGCCTGAGATGCTCTCTGACACTCTGTCCCAAGAGGCCTTAGGAAGTGTGGAAGTGACTACTTATGTAGTCACACACTAGCTGTGTGATTGAGCAAGCTACTGAATATTTCTGAGTTTCCATTCTCTCATCTATCAAATGGAGAAAATTGTACCTCTCTTACAACATTGTAAGGAATGAGACTAACATATAAACAGAATAGAATGGCATAGAATGTAGCACACAGCACAGTGCCTGCTATATGGCTTTTAAAATGAGAGCTACAGTAATAATGATAAGAAGTATTATGTTTATTTCCTGTCTAGAATAGAAGACACATTCTTCTGTTTTTTTTAAAGGTGTTTTTCATTTTGTCCTCTATTTCTGTATTTCCTTTTTGGCTCCTTCTAAAGCTCCCAGCTACCTATGTTTATGCAGTCGCTTCCCCTAGAAACTCACAGGGAAAAGTATCAGATCAAACAAAGTCTCAGCTGGGTGAGGTGGCTCACACCTGTAATCCCAGCACTTTGGGAGACTGAGGCAGGAGGATCACCTGAGGTCAGGAGTTTGAGACCAATCTGGCCAACATGGTGAAACCCTGTCTCTACTAAAAATACAAAAGTTAGCCAGGCATGGTGGTGCACACCTGTAATCCCAACTACTCAGGAAGCTGAAGCAGGAGAATCATTTGAACCCAGGAGGTGGAGGTTTCAGTGAGCCAAGATCACATCACTCCACTCCAGCCTGGAGACAGAGACTCTGTCTCAAAAAACAAAAGGAAACAAAACAAAACAAAAATTCTCACTTACTCTTCTAAGAAATAGAACTATGCAAGAGGAGAAATCCTTAATATGAATGAGTGAATTGCTATTGAAATAAATGGAACAGGATTTGAGAAAGGTAAGATCCTCCCTCGAACTCTTTAGATTTCACAGATGGGTAACAAGCTACTCAGCTCAGGAAGGTATCTGAGCATCACCCCTCATCTGACCCCTGCTAATATCTCCACCTGCCCTTCCCCATCCTCTCTTCCTTTACTCAACTATTCCTGGTACACACCATGCTCTCTCTTGTTTTATCCCCTTGCATATGCTGTTTCCTTTGCCCAGAATGCCTGATCCCCATCCAGATAATTTCTAGCCGTCCTTAAAGTTCAACATGGCTCCCCTTTAGTGAATTTGCCATAGCATCTTCCCCAGGACTCCTTCATTGTTTGACTTTGGTGTGCTTAGAGGAGTGATATTCACATTACAGCCTATGTGAATGGCACCCTCTGGAGGGGTACTGTGCACAGTCTGCGGGAGTCCTTGTTCTCCCACACTCTGCCCAATATTCCTCTTCTGTATACTCCAGTAGCCTCCTAATGTAAATTTTTATTCCACTGTTTTATCCATTTACTTGAAACCTTCCCTCCTAGTCTAGCAGTTTCTGAAGGGAGGAGTATGGGTTCTGTTTCTGTTTTTCCAATACTTCACATACAACAGGCACTCAGTAAACATTTGATTAATTGGTTGATTGATGGATACATGGATTAACAAAGGATGAATAAGTTAAAGAGTTGAAGGAAGGCTTAACCATTGCCATAGAGGATAACAACTTGTGAAATGAACTCTGTAGAGATGAGAAAAGAACAATAAAAAGGAGATAAAAATGTAAAGTGGAAAAATCCTCCATTAGTAGCCTGATTACTGGCTCCCAAATATTACCCAACAGGAGCCTCTTGCAGGAGAGGCTTTTGGGGAGGCCCTAAACATCTCAGTAATAGGTAGCTCAGTAAGTAGGAAAGTATCCAAGAGGACAGAACAGAATGATGATAAAAGTAGACTAAGAATCAGATACATAGTCTAGGACAATGGTAGAGAAAGTTTGCTTTCTAGTACCATCTTGGGACTTACTTATAACCTTTTATAATTGAAATGGAGTCCATATCTGTATATCTCAAGTTGAGAAGCCCTTTTTTCCTATTCCTGGTTTCTCTCACTTCCTTTTGCTTACTGTTTAAAATTTCAAAACTTGCTGCACATCACGTCCTTCTTTTTATCAGCTTTTGTGCACCTTTGAACAAAAATTTCCCCCAGGAGGACAGGGTTACAGAAGCCTATATTTAGAAAGTACTTATGGGTTGGATGAAGGCCTGACTATGCCTACAGTCAAGCTGCTTGAAGCTCTTCTAATATTCATTTAGTTAGAACAGTAACCACACTGAGTTATTGCTGGTCTCATATGGATCGTATATTCACAGACAGCTCTTGGCTTAGACAAAAAGATATATATTGTCTCTGCTGTTCACATCATGTCTTTTTATTTCATTATGACTATTGTGCTTAGAAGCATGGCATTCAATCTATATTCCCAATTAAATTATTTCAACACAGTCTATACATGTAAGCACATAGTTTTCTTTGAAGCAGACTTCGTTAAAATTGATATCTATTCTCTACTATCTCTGCCTTCAAGGACTACCACATTCTGCTCTATCGAGGAAGGAAGAAACACTGTTTTACATGAATGGACTTCATAACCAGCATATAGGATTAACTGGCATGAAATTTTTAAAGTTCTAGAAAGCATTAAAAGTTCTAGAAAGGATGAGCATTCCAAAGGAAAACTAAATTTGGACACCAGCTGAAGTTTCCGTCACATCTTCATTCTATCTGTGGCCCCCAAGCTTAATTGTCCCTCTCATTATACTCATGCTGGGTTTATAGGCAAATGTAACTAGGTTAAAAAAAAATTAAAAGGACCAGTATGATTTCATCAAGGGAACATATGGGTGAATGGTTGAAAACCATAAAAAGTGACACCGTTTAGATCAACTCCAAAATAAATGCTGTCAGTCATCTGAAAGTTCACTTGGGTAATGGGTTCCATGCTTGAGAGGTCAGCATATCCTCCGCATGAAGTTTCATAGAAAATTAAGAATTGGAGCTAAGAGTTATGAGAGCCAAAACAAGGGGGAAATGAGGAACAACTGGGAATTAATTACTTCTAAGTCTGAGCCAAGAGAAACACACCATTAGCAGAGATTTTCCAGTGTGATAAACACATATTCAAATAGAGAGTTAGAGAAAGCAAGATGTTGAGAACAAATTTCTTCACTAGAATGAAGCAAACAAAAGCTCACATTTGGAAATTGGAGAAGAGATATGAAGCCATGGGTGAGATTTCCTTGCTTGGAAGAAGACTTTAGTTCCAGAAAGTATTTCACTGTAAAAAAAATCTCGCGTGAAGAAGGGGAATTCTTTTTTAAAAATGACTAATGTTCCACTTACTTCATCTTCATCTAGAATTGATAATCTATGTATTTCTTAATTGGATATGAATATACATACATAACTTCTATCAAGGAGAGAGGAAAAGGGGAGATGGTTATGACAGGAAGTTTTTGGTACTGATGGAAATGAATGATCATGTGTATTTTAATCATTGTGGGCAATTCTTGCACCCTTGTTATGTTTATTTAAGGATGTGGAATGATGACATAAATCTGAATGACGACTGTACGTTATTGATTTTGCAGAATTAAGAGGAAGATTTATGAGGCATGGAACCCTCCATCAGATTTGGAAGAAAGTAGAGTGAGCGCAGAGATGACAGACAGCCACTGAGGCCCATGGACAATCCCCACCTCATGCTTCTCCATCAAACTTTAAGATTTATTAGTAATATGCTGCCTTTGGAAGATGAAAAGAAGCTAGTGCCAAGGAGGCGTATTCTTCAATATTTGGAATAGACGTGTTCTCAAGACAATGGCTTCAAAGGTCTCATGTTTGTATGTTTTGACAGTTGTGTGCTGGGCCAGCGCTCTCTGGTACTTGAGTATAACTCGTCCTACATCTTCTTACACTGGCTCCAAACCATTCAGCCACCTAACAGTTGCCAGGAAAAATTTCACCTTTGGCAACATAAGAACTCGACCTATCAACCCACATTCTTTTGAATTTCTTATCAACGAGCCCAATAAATGTGAGAAAAACATTCCTTTTCTTGTTATCCTCATCAGCACCACCCACAAGGAATTCGACGCCCGCCAGGCAATCAGAGAGACATGGGGGGATGAGAACAACTTTAAGGGGATCAAGATAGCCACTCTCTTCCTCCTGGGCAAGAATGCTGATCCTGTTCTCAATCAGATGGTGGAGCAAGAGAGCCAAATCTTCCACGATATCATCGTGGAGGACTTCATTGACTCCTACCATAACCTTACCCTCAAAACATTGATGGGGATGAGATGGGTGGCCACTTTTTGTTCAAAAGCCAAGTACGTCATGAAAACCGACAGTGACATTTTTGTAAACATGGACAACCTTATTTATAAATTACTGAAACCCTCTACCAAGCCACGAAGAAGGTATTTTACTGGCTATGTCATTAATGGAGGGCCAATTCGGGACGTCCGCAGTAAGTGGTATATGCCCAGGGATTTGTACCCAGACAGTAACTACCCACCATTTTGTTCGGGGACTGGCTACATCTTTTCAGCTGATGTGGCTGAACTCATTTACAAGACCTCACTCCACACCAGGCTGCTTCACCTTGAAGACGTATATGTGGGACTGTGTCTTCGAAAGCTGGGCATACATCCTTTCCAGAACAGTGGATTCAATCACTGGAAAATGGCCTACAGTTTGTGTAGGTATCGCCGTGTTATCACCGTGCATCAGATCTCTCCAGAAGAAATGCACAGAATCTGGAATGACATGTCAAGCAAGAAACATCTCAGATGTTAGGATTTTTACCAATGGAAATATGTTTCGTTTCTTTTTTTAAGAAATGGGACCTAAGGTGTTGGTATTTTCCAGGTGTCAGGGGAAATGAACTGGTTGAAGGGGTTTTGTAAAGTTTTTGCTTCCTGCTACAAGTTCCTTTCTTGGATTACCAATTTACAAATGTTAGACTCTGGTCATAGAAACAATAAATGAGTTAGAATAGCCAGATTTCATTCTCAGTCCCAGTGCATTGCTATTTGCCTCAAAAAGTGACTTCCAAATAACTCCTATGATTGATGTACTGTGCATTTGAGATAAAAATTTGGTTCTGGGAAACTGAAACTCACAATAATGTGTTTGTATCATCTCTGCAAAAATTAATACATAAACAGAAACCATTTTCAAAAGCAATTCAGAAAGGATGCACAGTCAGGAAGACACACTAGATGTGATTATTAATATCGTGTGTGTTGTTACATTATATTTTTACATATATTGCCATGTGATGTGTACAGTATTTGCAGTTCCACCAAGAAATGAACTTGGTAGCTGCAGAGAGGCTGCAGTTAAATAGATGGGAATTTAAACTTGAGAATCAAACATTGTATGTGTTTGGAAGACAACTCTGCTTGCTTATCCAAGGATTAAACCTGGTCAACAGGTGGAATGTATATAAAATGCTACTTAACAAAGCAAACAAAAATTTTTTTTTCTTTTTTCTTTTTTCTTTTCTTTTTTTTTTTTTTTTGCTCTTTCAGAACAAACATGAAATGGTGCCTCCAAGGAAACTTTGCCAAATGTAATCTCACCTGCTTCTTTCCATACAGTGTCGCTAAGTGCATTTCACAGTTTCTGGATCTGGCAGGCATATGTCTCTACGTATAAAATATGTTGGTTGGAGGCCAGAGAACAATAAATCACATTGATAAAAGACAAATTTAGGTATGCATTATAATTAACATAAGCTTATCAATAGTATAAGATGCCCCCACACACACACACATTTGCAAAACACGTGAGAAAATCTTTAAGGGTGTCAATATTATTGAAAGACTTGGCCCTATTGCTAACATCTGAAAACACCAGAACATGTTCAGCAGCAATGCTGTTATGAGGTATTCTGGGGGCTCTGTGATTGAGGTTCATGGGCAGGAAGAATGGGGAAGGCTGGGTTTGGGTCCCATTGATGCCCTCAAACTTATTGGGCCCTATGAGTAGGCATTGTAATCTTGCTCTGCTTCAATGTGTTCATTTTTGAAAATGGCTGTAAAAAACACCTACCTCACAGCTGCTGTGAGAGCGAATTGCATTTGCTAAGTATTTTGAGATCCTTAGCTTAAAAGGTGCTACGTAATGCAGTGTACCATGCATTATACTAGATGCTAAAATAATTGTATAATTACAATGATGGGCATTAGTAACAGTAACATCATCTTACTATAACATCTGCCGAAATAAAGATCAGCTGTGAACTATCAGTGCATCTAATTCTGCCAAGGCTTTGACTTTTCCTTGGCTGTAATTTGGGTGTTTGGGAAAACTCTTATTTCTCTGCAATTTCTTCTGGTTTCAATGAATAAGTGACTAGATCAGTGTGTTGCCTTGAAATCCTAAGATGCTGAAAGTAGAGGTAGCTGCCCTCTTTGGGAAGGAATCTCTGGTTGGGCATATATTACAGTAAATGAAGCATATGCTTTGCAAAATGCATCACAGCAACTTAGATCTCAGGAACCACTGAATCTGAATTCTAAGAATTTTGAGAGCAGATAAAGTTAGTCCACCTCTTTCAGAAGAAGCATGATAGGCAGTCGGCAAACCTGGACATTGCACATCTACCATTTATTAGAAAACACCTGTTGGTTCTCATGCAAAGAAAGCCCCATAGCTGAAAGAGTATACCTTTTTAATTTATTTACTTGTGTTTTAACCTGACCCCGGGAGACCCCATAGAAGTTGATAGCAAACAGGCAGACAAAATGAGCAAGTGAAAGTCATGACTTGTTTCTGCAAAACTCTGGATCTCTCATCCCCAGCCCTAAAGGACCCAAGATGAGACAAGACTTCCCATCCCTTAACACATCTTCATGTTATGGTCAGCAGGACTGCTGGTTTTGATTAGAGAATAGCAATTAGGTAACCTGGGGAGAGATGGATCAGCATAAGGTGAACCACCCTCCAACCCTGTAGCCTCAACTGCTGTGAGTTCCAATCACTGGGAGAGTCTCACGACTTCATACTTGGTTTACCTTTCAATCATGCAGCTGAATCAAGCCTCTTGTCTCATACTATTGCCTTGCATCTACCCCATGCTCAGTCAAACCGCCTTTGATGTCAAGAAATTGCACATTATAAACATCATATATGTACATCTATGAATCATTTTATATGTGTGTGTATACATTATGAATACAGCCCTAATCTTCAAAAGGAGCAAAAATCAGAATCATATGTCTTAAAGAACTATTTCCTTACTTTTTTATGCTAGATAATGCCCATGTGACAAACATGTAAATATACATCAAAAACCACGTGTATATATTTTAAAGGCATTTTTTTCTTCTCCCCAACTGTATGTATAGCTAGAATCTGCTTGCTATGTAACATTTTCTTCTGCATGGAGCTTGGTGAAGCAAGGCCATTTGTCCAGTGTTTCAATAGCCTTAAGCATGTTTGCCCTTCGTTTTCTGAATGTTCAAAAAATGTTTAAGTGATCAAGAAAAAGCTCTAACTTTCTACTTTTGTTAATTTTATGACATGACACTGGCTAAATTATTGTTTCGATTACTTGTTAAGTCATTCTTATCATTTCCCTGATGTAAAATATATAATGTTTCAGACAGTATTCTACCAAGAGTCTCTCAGACAATTTTTACAAAAACTCTTTTTTTCCATTATCCACTGGATAATATATTATTAGTGTCTATATTCTTAAAGTTTCTTTTTTTAATTTATTTTTTTGGAAAAATTTTCCCTTTGGTGGCTAGTTTAGGTGGCTTTGTGTCTTCTTATATTGGAACAAGTATCTATTTCAATATAGAATATTGTATTTTTAAATAACCAGAATCAACAAAATGAAGATCACTTAATTTGGATTCAATTCAGAAGAATAAAACCCCTTTGTGTGACACAATATGGGGAAAATAAACTATTTACAGAGAAGCCAAGGAAGGACTTTTTCAATCAAATCTCTTCTATCAAAAGACAATGGAATATTTACCTAATGCATCTGGGATCATTTTCTACCTTTCCTAATACGTGGGTTTAGTGGGAGATTGATTATGTCATTTCTTCTGTAAAGGTGAAAATAGTTTTTATAAACAACAAAGTAACTTGTGAATGAAAGAAGTAATTTACTAGAACAACGCTTGTTGATGATAATTGACATTTAGGTATAACGTTATATATGAATGATTGTATTTATGTATTTATTTGTCACAATTGTACATACTGTTTCGCCAAAAGTAACTGTCTGTAAAAGTGCACTCTCCAGGTTTGTAGTACTATTTAGGGTTACATGGGTTGCCAATCAAGCTGCTAATCAGAATACTATTTTTTGTATCAATGTTATAAAACTAAAAATGACAGATAGATGCTGAAGCTGTCATTACATTCAGTTTCTTCACCTTCCTCTTGAAATGTAAACTGTTGACTGAAAGCACGATGCTTATGTACAGGCCCATCTGTCACGATGAAGATTATGGTTCCATAAAGCCGATTTTTTTTTTAAACCATTGGGACAAATAAACAGAAGGAGAACAAATTTTTCACTTTGCTTCTTTTTGGAAAGAATCTCTTTGGTGAGATGTGATTGTTAAAAGCTGATGCCCATGCCCTGCCGTTTACCATCAACCTTTTTCACAATCTCAGTGTAGGTAATAGTTCATGCCATTCAGAGCTCATCCCAAAGAGCCCAGTGCAACTTAACAGTCAACACAGAGAATATTCCATCTAGTAAGTAGACCAGTGGCTACTCTGGGGTTTAGGAAAACGGGGATTCACTTGCCCCTTGGTGGCCTCAAGGAATCATTTTAACTGGCCTCTGTATTAAAATCTATGGTTTAAACTTGCCAACAAATTCCAACCCAGGAGGGCATTCTATTAATAATGTGTTTGGCAATTTAAGACATGTTGAATCTAAGGCAAAACTGTCATTCTCATGTTTCATCTGCATGTATCCTTTGGAATACTGTATGTTACTTTAAAAGTTTAATTGGATCAGAGAAGATCTATTCAAACATTCCTCACAGCAGCCAAGTAGATGATTGCTGATGCCTGATTGTGTCAGCAAGAGACAGAGAACTATTTAGGAGGCGAAAGTTACTTTCATTATCAATCCTGATCTAGCTAAACAGATATTCACTTTTTTTGTTTTCTTCAACTTATTTTAAGTTCAGGAGTGCATGTGCAGGATGTGCAGGTTTATTATATAGGAAAACATGTGCCATGGTAGTTTGCTGCACAGATCACCCCATTACCTAGGTATTAAGCCCAGCATCCAATAGCTATCCTTCCTGATGCACCCTCCCCTGAATCCCTTCTGACAGCCCACAGTGTGTTGTTCCCCACCATATGCCCATGTGTTCTCACCATTCAGCTCCCACTTATGAGAACATGTGGTATTTGGTTTTTTGTTCCTGTATTAGTTTGCTGAGGATAATGGCTTCCAAATTCATTTATGTCCCTGCAAAGGACATGATCATGTTCCTTTTTATGGCTGCACAGTATTCCAGATATTCACTTTTTAATGGAAATTTAACTTTTGGTTACTCCTCACATACCTTGGAATTCCAAAAGGCAAAATTTATCAGGTGGGTGGAACTATGTGAGTAAAGAATAAAAACATAATATACAGCTTTGTATTCCACATAACTTTTTCAAAGGACCAACATCAAGAGCAGTGATCTAAAAATATAGTCTCCAGGCCAGGCACGGTGGCTCACTCCTGTAATCCCACCACTTTGGGAGGCCAATGTGGTGGGTCACCTGAGACTAGGAGTTTAAAACCAGCCTGGCCAACATGGTGAAACTCCATCTCTACTAAATATACAAAAATTAGCCGGGTGTGGTGGTGCACACCTGTAATCCCAGCTACTTGGGAGGCTGAGGCAGGAGAATAGCTTGAACCAGTGAGGCAGAGGTTGCAGTAAGCCAAGATCACACCACTGCACTCCAGCCTGTGCAACAGAGCAAAACTCTATCTCAAAAATAAATCAGTTAAGTATAGTCTCCAGATCAGGAGCACCAGACTCATCCAGGAACTTGCTAGAGAAGCAAATTCTCAAGTTCCTCCAGAAACTTCAGCGTGTGACTCAGCAGTCCATTTTAATGAGCCCTCTAGCTAACTCCAATGCCCACTGGAGCTGAGAACACTAACCCAAAGCAGAGACTGGGAAACTACAGTCTGTGAACTCCATTCAGTCTGCTGTCCACAAGCTAAGAGTGGTTCCCATGAACAGCTGCTATGATTGATGACAGCAGATGCTAACACAGAGCTCCAACTAAGCAGGACGTTAGTCCCATAGGAAGAATGCCATTCCTCTCAGTAGTAGATGTGTATTGCCGATACACAAAATTGTACTCAGTTTTTATTTTATTTTGAATTCCATCAACACAAAAACTGGAAATTTATTTTTTCTTTTGTTGTGAAAGTACTATCATATATTTTCAAGTTTGCTTCTTGACCCACAAAGCTTAAAATATTTATTATCTTGCACTTTACAGGAGGAGTTTGTCAACTTTTGACCTAGAGAAACAGGAAGACATCTGAAAAAGGTGCCACACACAAAATGTTTTCATTTATGGATGAAAAAATCATATCAGCACTGGAATTGTCTTCCCATACAGCCAGGAAAAGGACAATGTAGTCATGATAATGAATTGCATTAACAACCAATAGCTGCATATATTTTTGAAATATTTCCATGTTTTCTCTGAGTGATTTTTAAAAATTATAAAGGCTTGATTCTAATTGTCACAATTACCCGCATTTTAATTAATATATTGCTTCAAGATGTGTGCATATTAGATCTAAAAGGGTGGGTTTCATGTAGCTTGATTATTGTAATTATAAGTGTTCTATTTTCTCATTTACTTAATTGATTGTCATAGATTTCCAAATGAATTCACACTGCTGGGAGAGAACTGAATACATTTTTAAGAGAAAAAAACAAAAATGAAAAAAGTAAAATAGAAATGGGGATATTTAAAAGAGTCAGTAATGTGCCCCACAATATAATCCATGTGAGCATGAAAAATTATCCTCGATAAGATATCCTTACCTCCTTGTCGGTTGAAATGGGCATTTTTGTGAAGTGAAAAAGTGTTATTGATTCAACCACATCGATAATAATGCTGGCTCCACTGTCTCTTCGGCCACAGGTGCCTAGCACTCAAGAAAAATTTTTCATTTAGTTTTCCTTCTAGAATTTATTAGTTTAGTACATTATGTCAACTATTTGTTATGCCTCTTGCAATGACCTCCGGCCTCACCTGGAGGGAGCATGGCACAAGAGGTGATTTATTCTCTCTCTAGGTTTATTCTAGAGCGTTGACTCAGCGGTGGCTGCCTGATTCGGCAGGCTGGCGGAGACATTTCTGGGGGTTTGTGATGAAGACTATTTTTCAGAGGAGGCGAAGATGCCCTCAACAAGCCTAGGGTGAGGGGGAAGAAAGCATCAGAGAATTTCTCCTATTGCAAACCCTTACATTTGCAGTGCCCCTTCTTCTGTTTCGTCGTTGTTGTTGCTGAATTCTAACAACAGCCTCATGAAGTAGATGCTGCTCTTATCTCAAATTGGCGGACTAGGGAATCGAGGCAACCGAGGCTTCTATAACTTACAGGGTGAATTCAGACCCTCTGGCGCCATATTCATCATCAACATAGCATTTTGCTTCTCAAAAATAAGGGCACATACCGCTCCCCACCACCACACTGCCCCAGACCCCAGTTCCTGTAGAATTCAGTGTAGCTGTTTTAATTTGTTTTCCAGAGTGTAACTTTTGCCCCCTTTTTACTGAGTTATAATTTATATACTTTAAAATTCCCTCTTTTTAAGTGTAAGAGTTTTGACAAATGTGTACATTCAGGTAACGACCACCATAAGAAGAAATAGAAGAATTCTAGTACTTTCCCAAATTTTCTCATGACCCTTTATCAGCCCCTCCCTCAGCCTCTGGCAATCACTGATCTCTTTCCAAATTTTTATTTTACTTGAGATTTACATGTTATTTAGTAGTCATCATCTATAATGTTTAATGTATAGAAAAATGTCTTCAAACAACCCATTATGACACCTTAGCATCCAACAAAGCAAAAAATCGAAGAGAATAAAACAAGAAAACAGAATCTTAAGAAAACAGTTAAGCAATACATAAATACAGATGAAAGATTCAGGAATTTTAAAATAAACCACCATTGATTCAATAATATCCAAGTCTAATGAATATTAATAAGAAGATGCCAGTCAAAATTCTATAACTTGAGTCACCCGAAATTTAGACCAGCTCACTAGAAACTTTAAGAGAGATTCTATCCTTAAGAGCTCACACATTTCTATAAAGAGAACGATCCATAAGTTCAATATGCGTTTTTTCCTCTTGGAAGCAAAGGATCCTCTGGAGAGATATCCATCACTAGCTAGCTCCTTTAAAAGGCAGGCTTTGGCCGGGCGCGGTGGCTCACGCCTGTAATCCCAGCACTGTGAGAGGCCGAGGCGGGTAGATCACGAGGTCAAGAGATCGAGACCATCCTGGTCAACATGGTGAAACCCCGTCTCTACTAAAAATACAAAAAGTTAGCTGGGCATGGTGGCACGTGCCTGTAGTCCCAGCTACTCGGGAGGCTGAGGCAGGAGAATTGCCTGAACCAAGGAGGCAGAGGTTGCAGTGAGCCGAGATCGTGCCATTGCACTCCAGCCTGGGTAACAAGAGCAAAACTCCGTCTCAAAAAAAAAAAAAAAAAATGCAGGCCTTGTCTACACTCAAGGCTGTGACTGCACACCTGTTGTAAACGACACTCAGATGAGCTCTCCCTCTGTATCTGCTTGTGCTTTCTGACTTACTGTTGGTTTCTTCAACATATGCTAGTCCACATTTCCTTTAGAAAAACATCATTTTACAACTACAAGCTTCTCTTCAAACTTTATCACCACTGAGTTAACTTGGAAAGTGTGTCATTTACAACAAAATGTTCCTCCGTCCTAGCAGGAGTTGGAGCCATAGGTGGCACAAGTATGGAAGCAAAATAGGATACTGGAGCAGAAAGGACAGGCTGAGGACAAGTCAACTCTACAGCAATGCTTCTCAGACTGGCAGATGCCAATAATTACCTGGGAACCCCCAGTTCTGACTTTCTTGGGAGCTTCCAGGCAATGCTGATGCCACTGGTACATAGACTGTCTTTTGAGTAACAGGGCTCTGGAATTCAAGGCTAGATTCTAGACAGGGTTACTAGTTTTTTTGTTTGTTTGGTTTTGGTTTTGTTTTGAGACAGAGTCTCTAACACCCAGGCTGTAGTGCAGTGACATGATCTTGATATCTTAGGCTCAGGTGATTCTCCCACCTCAGCCTCTTGAGTTGGGACTGCAGGCTAGAAAATTCACACCCAACTAATAATTTTGTATTTTTTTTTTTAGAGTTGGGGTTTCACCTTAATGCCCAGGCTGGTCTCAAACTCCTCAGCTCTAGTGATCCACCCTCCTAAACCTTCCAAAGTGCTGGATTATAGCCATGAGCCACTGCACTTGGCCTAGGGTTACTAGT